TGTTTCGTTTACCTTCTAGGCATGCGACAAATAACGGCCTCTTCAAGATCAAACAGCCTATTTGTGGCGCCAAGGATTAGAATTCTCTCGTTTTCCTTTGATGTCAAGCTGTCCCAAGCTACCATAAACTCGTCGAGTATCTTTCTCGATGCCTCATTCTCCAAAAATCCACCATGAGCACTAAACAAAGCATCAACCAACAAAACATAAGTATTAAATTATCAATTTATAAATAAAAAAATTCAGTTTAGATTCGTTCAGTTTTCGCCTCTCATGATTTCCTATTTTCATATATATCTATACAATATGAAGTGTCGACTTGTGTTTGCGAATGCCAGCTCAGTTTTATGTCGTTATAGTTCAAGCAAGAATCACCTCATCAAGAAAGATAATCACAGGGGCAAGTTTTGCCACAAACGAAAACAATGCCTTTGTAAACTTCTCTGCCTCTCCATACCACTCCAAACAATTTTATTACCGACAACATTTGGACGAATCAAACATAGAAAAAGCAGGACTCGACTAACATACCATAGATGTAAGAGATGATGGGATAACATTGAGGAAATTAGCTCCAGCTTGTGTAGCGAGTGCCTTCGTAATAAGGGTCATTCCGGTTCCCGGAGGCCCGTAAAGTAGAATCCCTTTACAAGGCTGACAAAAGCTTAACAGCATGCATATTCCCACAATAGCATTCTACAGTTTGCAAGTAAATAATACTGCAGTTTGGTAACATTTATTAGTTATATGGAATAATGAATACATGAATGTAACCTTCTTGACACTTCTTCAATGTCATTAGGACCATAAGAAGATCAATTGGTCAATAGTATTATTAGACTATATTATAGCCAATCTTTAGTATTACCTTGTCCATGTACCAATACTAAAGAAAATAGCTATGAACTACTATATAACCAATAGACCAGTTGTATGTAGTACAACAGAAAAATATTATATAAGTTTGTCCATTAATTTCTACATTGTGAATCCAATGGAAGCACAGACATGCTGATAAATAAGAATTAAATTTTGTAACAGTAACACTAATTATACATCTTTGGTCATCTCAGTGAGGTGCATTAATTCCAGACTTACAATTGCTATTCAAGTGCATATGAATGGCAAAAATTGAAGTAGATGTTGAATTAAGTCACTAAGACTTGTTGATTCTACCATCTGTTGTTAACTTTTAACAAGGCATGAGTCATGACAAAGATTGGTCAGAAATTTATAGAACATATCCATGTTTGTCATTGAGAAACAAAAAAATGAATGAAAATGACTGGTCAAACACTCTAATAATAATAATATCAAAAATAATAATATAACAACTTTCTTACATTACAAAGACATCCTCTATTTACGTTTTATTTTAACAAATTTCATATAAAAATGGGGAGTATTTTGCCAAGTGCCTACAAATCTAAACGGGATGTTTACAGTACCTTAAATTCCAATACACCACTAGAAAGCAAAGACAAACACCAACCAAATTAAAATAATTCATGCCCAAAAAGCACATTTTTCAGGTAGGATCTTAATAACAACAAGAACTGAACACATTCGCAACACGTCCCAAAGTTTTAAAGACACATATAACCTTCACCTGAGCCCGCCGCATGTCATGACGAGCCACTGCCACATGTCATGGAACTCTTGGTTTGCTGTCCCAAGCCTCTCTCGCCTCCAGAAGATGAGGGCAGTATCTCCGCGCCAAGACTTCTACCTGCTCGGCAAACGGCTTATGCCCATTCCGCCCCAAATGCAAAGCCATCTGATTCCAACGCTTTCGGCACACAATCCCATCCCTGCCCTCAACAACACCATCCCAGTCCACATCCTCCACGCAGGTCGCGTCCAGGCTATGAAGCCCACCAATCAGACGGTAGTCGTCTGAGTCGGCCCACACGCCCTGGGCCACCATGGACGAGGTCAGTTGTCTGTACCACTTTTCACAGCAAAGGTCCTGAGGACGGGTTGACAGCTCATCACTAATTGCCGTCCAGCAGATATTGTCACGCAGCATCCCGTGCTGGGACTTCTTCTCTTCTCGAAGCTTCGCCTGCAGGTCAATGTTCACGAGGTCAAACAGTTTCTGGTACTCGTCCTGAGACCAGTGCCCTTTCTTGCGGTTGACCAGCTTTATCCTCCGCCAGGTGTTCCTGACATGTGTCCTGTGCTTGCCGAGCTTGTCTGCCAGCTTCTTCCATTGCCTGCCGTGCTCCTCGCAGAACTTGAGGATCTCCTCGTACTCTTCCTCAGTCCATTTGCGATTCTCAGCCCTGCGGAATAGAACATGGGTACGCACGTAGACGGAAGAGGTGGGTCTATATGGTATGGAAGACCCGATTTCCTTCCAACAGCCCCTCACCTTGGGGTGCTTTTGACAGTTGAGGACCATGTCCAGGCCTTTGTCCCCTAAGTTGTGACTCAGTATGTAGTCATTAACAGCAGCTTTGATGATCTCATCCTCTTCAGACGTGAACCACTTACCTCTAACTAGTTTCTCTCCCTCCACAGTCCATTTCGCTGGATTTGAAATGACTGGAGAGGGGGAAACTTCGACGTGATTAGAAAACCTCACTTTCTTCTTACTTTTTCTGGGTGTAGCATCGCTTGACTCATTCTCCACCGGTTTGGTCATTTTCAATTTTCCTTTCTTCTCATGTGCAGCACCATTATCTCTTATCTCCTCAGAACCCTCTTCCATTACTTCAGTATGTTTCTTCTTCTTCTTCTTCTTCTTCTTCTTCTTCTTCTTCTTTTTGGTTGCATGTTCTACCTCATTACTTTGCATCTCATCCGTATGCATATGACCATTGCTGTCAGTTTCCGCATTATCTTGCTGAGCGGCAGTTGAATAGTCCTCCAAATGTTCTTTCTTTTTCTTCTTTCTTTCCTTCTTTCTCTCAAGTTCTTCTGCAGCATAGACATCATGTTCATTTGATTCAAATTTGTCTTCAACATTATCTGCCACGCATTCTTGTTGCTCAGAAGGAAAATCGTTTTCGTCATTCATAGCTTCACCAGAAGTGCCACGTGACCAATTGGCATCTTTGATGTTCTCTTTTTCCTTTTTCCATTTCTTCCTTTCGACCTTCCCTGTATCATCAGCTTTCAAATTCTGACTATGTTGCCCAGACTCGTTTATATGTATCTCTCCGTCCCTCTCAAAATCTACTTCATCGTGTTTTCTTTTTGATTTCTTCTTCTTCTTCTTCCTCTCCTTGTTATTATCTTCAGTACTTTTCTTTTCGGATTTACTTTCTCCATCT